ACCTGCATTTCGTACACTTGATGATCTAAAAAAAAGATTGCAACACATATTAGACAGAAAGAAAATAAAAAACCTTGTGTTTGATTTTTACGACGTCTATAATCAGCCATCGACTTTGGGTGGAACCACTCTTTCTAAAACAATCGAGTTAATAATATTATATGCGAATTTATAGAAATATTACCTTGCACACACAACCGTTTCGAACATACTTCATGCTACAAAAGCACGTGCAAATGCAACTCCCTGAAACTAGAGCACTTAAAATCACTTTAAGTGCATTAGAAATCACTTCTTCTATAATCTTCCCCATAAACGAGGGCTCCAACACTCTGCTAACAGGAACAGCTGTTGTGTTGAATCCTGTTACATGCCGTGAAACGGGAATCAACTTTCCCGTGCCTTGATAATCTTGAAACGATTTATATGGTATCGGCTGAAGCAAAAAAGATATTAAAATAATTTCCTAGTAAACCATATTCTTACCGCAGCTGATACACATAAGATAATAGCAAAAACAAAACAAATCATGACAGCCACCTCAAACAAACGAATAATCGAAAATGTACGATATCTTTCAATGCCAATTGAAAAAAGACATATATATATATATATATATATGTTGACCGATCACAACACAACTCGTATCCAATTACACTAATATATATACGATAATATGTAATCAGTCAAAAACAAAATCAATCGATCCGCGTACATGTGCTACACTAATTGAAAGTACTCACTTAGTGATCCACATAGATTTGCTTCAACGTACTGAAGCAAACGATTTTCTCCTTTAACGCATACTGTCACCCATTAACACCGTTTTGAGATTGATTTGGAATTCAATTCTATCTGAGAAAGAACTAGTCCGAATTGTCAGAACAACTGCCATCGTATCTTTTCAAGAGAAGTTTCAACTTGGATTGATAATATCCGGCATGCACACAGGAAAATAAAAAAGATTTTCTCTCTTGAGAAACATTACCGAAGATCCGGATCAGTTGATTTATATTAAAAATTGAATTCTGCACAATTAAAAAGCGGTGGAATTCAACGGAGGAAGTTTTCATAGAAATGTTTTTTATGCTATTATAGCAAGTGAAATCTTATAGACTTTGTCGTAGTTGGTTGGAAAAAACAAAGTATCGTTTTAGATTTTATTTTTTTATAAAAATGTTTATTTGGATAGTTTGTTTGAAATGTTCATGAGAAGTAGTGATTTCAAAATTTCTGTTTCAGAAGTTGCAATCTTTCAGGTTTCGATTACGTTTGAGTTTGCTTTAAAGAAAGCTTTTTGTAGTTTTTGTTCTGAAATTGCAGTCATTAGAGAAAAAGCGTAGAATGCTTCGATGGTAAATGGTGCTTATCACTTGGTTGCTGTGATCAACCATGTCCAAATTTCTGTCCGCTATGATGGTGTTTTCATATTTCCGATTTTCTGATTGGGTATTAGTTTGACCAATGAAGTTTCGTCGTTCGTCGTGGTAATTCATCGTGTTGTGGTAGCTTCTCATCGATACGAATTGTTTATTTAGCTACCGTCTTTCAGATTAGGATATTCTAAAACAATGATCTGATTACTATCCAGGTCGGTTAAAACGGATGTCGTAACGGCGTTCTTTACGACCGTAATCGACAAGGATAGGGAGTAATTACGCCCGTTTACGATGCAAACACGGCCCGTTACGGCGCCGTATTACCTCGTTTTAACAGGGGCTGTAATACGGCCGTATTTGCCCGTACCGTATACGGGGATGTAAACGGCCGTTAACGGTGAATTACAGTGGTCGTATACGGATAGTATTCTTTACTGTGTACGGTAGTAAACGAGCCGTTTTCCTGCAGTTTTTGTGAGACCTCGCTCCACGTCTTTTGCAACGAATACAAATTAAATAAGATCGAAATTAAATGTATTTAATAAAATTAAAATTAAAAAATTACAATAAAAAAAAGTAAATTTCAATAAAAATTAAATAAAGAAAAAGTTAAAATAATTAAATAAAAATTAGAATGAAAGTAAAAATTAAAATTGAAAATAAAGTAAAAATCCAAATAAAATTAAATCTAAAATTAAATTTAAATTAAATTTAAAGTAAAAATTAAAAATAAACATAAAATGATATAAATAATTTCTACTTACTGTTACTAGACTTCATGCCCTCATATAATCTAAACGAAAATAAAATATCCAAAGAAGAAAAAGAAAGTATTTCTAATTCTAATTCTAACTGAATTACATGTATGCACTGATTGGTGTAATTTACGCACATATTACTGCGTAGGAGAGAGGGCGCTGTGATTTAGGTTAAGGAGAGCGGAATAAAAATAAAACGCAATAAGGGGTACAGTTCGACCGAGAACTAAGAAAAAGAAACATTATTCTCCAAGAAAGCGTGTTCTCGGATGTTCTGGCACCATACGGTAAATACGATTGAAATACGGAGGGTTTCCGATGACCGTTACGCTATCGTTTACAATGGTCCGTAAACGACCATCGTAGACGCCGTCGTATTTACCCGTTATTATCTCGTATACGGTCATTCGTAAACGATCACCCGTCACGACCATCGTATTTCACCGCAATTGTATCGTTTACGACCGTTGACGGAGCGTTTTAACCGACCTGGGTAGGTTTACATATAACAGCATTTTTTGTGAAAATCCATTTCGGATGTTTCAAATGAAAAATGTTTGAACGCCGTAGTCGATGTATATTTGGCACATGATACTGTACATCGTTTATTTAAAAATTGAATTTTGATTCTTCTGCTTTTTGTTTTACGAGTTTTTCGATGAATAAACGAACAACGTTCTTTTTCGACTTAATGATAGCTGTAATAAGTCAATAACGTATTTGATCGTCAGCAAATTGAAACGTAATACAACTATCACTGACTAATTTTCCCAGAGTCATGACAGTAGTTTTCAGTAAGGCACCTGATATGATTATAGAATGATAAAAAGTGATGTCTTCTTTAAAAAACGATCGAGCATTGGTTGCGATACCATTCGGACTGGTATCGTATAATGTTTCGGATACAGGATAAGGCAAATAACATGAATCAGCAAAAAGTCTTCTCAATGTTATGATACTATCATTTATAGGTATTAAACTCTGATTATACTGCTTGAGTTGTGCACTAATATAGAAAATAATTATTTGGATACTTTTTTTGTCAGTGAAAGTTATATTATCAATTTAGATTCGTTGTGGATTTTAAAATTCAGGCATATCAGTAGTATTGGACTTTATTATTAGTTAAAACATTTTTTCTATTCTATATATTATTAAATTCATAATATTACTAAAAATGGCAAATTGTACACTTCGACATTTCGTTTCGCTTCAACGCATGTGCTTGTTTTCTTATAACCAATGAATCTATTTTCTCGATAAAATGGACCAGATATGACAGCAGTTATTTTAGATTCCATAAACTAGTTCAGAGATGAGCGAACCCGTATTTTCTAAATAAAATCGACTTGATTGATAAAAGCTGTTAGCGCAATCCCTGTGGGATTAAAATGTGAAACACGATAAAGCTCGTTTTCTGGAATCCGTCTACCACGGTCTGTGGAGCTTCTCTGTCACGGTTTGTATCTTTATTATGGTGTTTGAACTCTCTAGAGACCATCGCAGACCGTTGCACAGATTTCAAAAACCATCACAGACCGGGACAGAGAAATTAATTCATTGATCAGCTAGCTAATTAATTAATTAATTTCTCTGTCCCTGTCTGTGGAAGTGGGGTCGGATCGGGGGATGGGTCCAAATTTCTACCCTATATACTTCAACACTCCTTTCAGATCGTGTTTCACAAAAGGGATATCACTGACTCACATAACAGCGTGGATAAATCTGAGACTAGCCTGAACAAGAAATCATGTTATTTGTCGCTGGAATATGTTGGATTTGGCCTTTTTCGAAGACTCCTTAGACTAGTCCTGACAGAATTTTCTGAAACGACTAACTAGTCCCAATTTATTGGAAGGGCGATGTCTTATAGGTGGACTAGACAAAACAAATGTGCTGGCGTTTTAGACTAGACAGATCGCCCGTCATACCCTCTTTTTTGCTCACTTGGATATCTACTGATCAATAGAACTTTTTCAATTCTTATTAAACTCAATCTGTTCTATAATCACTTCATGTCATTATCAAGCACTCTGGAAATAACTGAAAAAGTCACGCTCTTGGTAAGATGAACTGGCGTGCCATAGTTTGGTCGAAAGGAAAAATATTGGGAACTTGTGACGTCACTAGTAAACGCCGGCTTCTCTGTTTCTGCTGTTGGTTTTCGAACAGGTTTATCGACATACATCAATAAATAGTGGTGTCTGATAGCGATGAACGACAATAGTGTAAAACTATTATTAAACAAATGGAAATCTTATTCACGCGAACTTGCTCTTATAACATTGCTTTTATTTTCATTTGGATTAATGTACTTCTCAGTTTATCTTGATCGGCTGCATGAACATAAGGAGAAAAACCGTCTACACCACGTGTCTCATAAATTTCGTTCATGGAATTTTCTCGTTGTCCTAGAGTGATGCCTTCCACAGCACCTGCATCCAGAGCAGCTTCGATTGTCTTAATAACTTGTTTTCCTGTTGGAATCAAATCAAATTCACCTTCTATTGCGGCAGCCGCAGAAGCAATTGCCTGAAAACCGAGATTTGAATTCCACGATGTTACAGGAATATCTGAGTATACACCACTTGCCATAATAGTTTTGCCATCTAATGCAAGTGGGATATTATCTTTTAGATTCGCCATGCCAGCTTCATTTCCACCATCGCCAACTGCAACAATAAGACCACTATCTTTAAATTGGACAAGCATTTCATCGACTGGTGGGTTCCAATCGTTAATGTTTGTGCCTCTCATATTGCGACGGATTCCATCATTCCAATTTCGACTACAAAGCTCTCCGGCAAGCATAGCTTTGGGTTTTAACATGCTAATAAGCCTATGTGCTTCTGCGACTTGTTCGTTTTCATCATGACGCGAATTGAATTCATATACACAGTTATCATTGACTTCGATTGATTTTAAACAATCACGGAGAACATTACAAGTGATAGGGTCAGCAACATACGACACATGATAGGACAGTTGGCGAAGTGTTTCACCTGCAAGTACTGCACCTGGAGGACCATCTGTTTCGGCTACCGGAACTTTTTTACCATCCACAAGTCTTTCTGTTACACAAAAACCGGTAAGAATTGTAATCGATGAGCCTTTTTCGAGGTTTAACAAAGCATACGCAGCTTTTTCCACACTTCCTGGTGGTGCATAAAATTTCGACAGGTTTCGCATATCATAGCTAGCGAGAATATGATCAACTGCGGTAAATGATCTTGTTTGCGACATTAATAACGTAGCATCGGCAGTGGACGATTTCGTGGTAGCAGTGGATTCTAATTTTTTCATGAACTGAATCGGTAAATTGTGATGAAAATATACAAGAAATATTAATGTGTAGTTACTTTTCGAGGCTTATTTCAATATCAAATACCAGTGACAAAAAGCGTGATAACCGTATAGGTTACACTGTTAGTATTATTTTGCTTCGCCGGTGAGACACGTGAGGATGAGTTGAAAAGAGAAAAGAGAAGAGAGATAAAGAAATAAAGAAATGAAGATTCAAAGGTAAAATTTCGGCATGAAGAATCCGGTAAATTTTCGCCGTAGTAGATACTGCTTCTCGTATTCTTCCCTTCATCCTACATAATCTCACCACCTGATTTGTGTGTGTTTAGGTGAGAACGAAGGCAATATGCAAGCACAAACATGCTATCTTTCTAGACAGATAAGTAAAGAAAAAGTCGACGCTTTGACGAAATTGCATATTGTAACGTGCTAAAAAATGGAAGGTCGCACGCCGTAAGTGAAGGAGATCAAACATCTTCGGATCAAATGGCAACGTATGTAAAATTTAGCTATAAAAATAAATAATCATGCAAATATTGATACCAGTTTTTCTTAGAATTTATTCTTCACTACGCTAACAGTTTCTACATTCTTTCTTGTGGATATTAGATACAATTGATCTGTACTGATTCTCATGTTATCTAACAGTTGCTAACTGAGCAATAGAGATCATAACTCGAACTGTTATAAACCAATTTTGATGAGTTTAAGTGTGTCCTGCATCTGCGCTTAGGTTGGTCTACCGATCATAAATAATATTATTAGCTGAAGAACATTAATATGAATCTAGTGAGAGTAGATCATCGTGACTGTTACGTTTTATTTCATATTTATGAATAAGTTGTTGTTGAAATAAAAGCGCTTCAGAGATTGTTGATTTGTTTTCTTATTGCGAGGTCTCCTTCTATAATTTTTTTATAATCAATAATTCGGGCGCTGAATCTGCTACAGCAGGAGATTGATCGCATAAAAAACTGCCTACCGTAAGATTTTTGAGATTCACCAGCGGTTCTTTATTACAGACGGTAATAATGTAAACACAACAGGAGATGATAACCAAAACGAAACAATAGACCGAAAAGCAAAAACAAGGAAAAAGCAGAAAACAAAACAACACCTCATAAGTATATATATGAGAAAATCAAATGACGCAATATAAGGGGAAACGTCGGTCAAAAAAACATGAAAAGGTCATCAGCGTCTCATGATGATCAATCAACTGGACAATTCAGATAGACAAATCAACAAAAGAAAAAATCACGAAATGAAAAGAAGTTAGTGACATAGAGCGACATCTTATGCCACTAACACTTATCATTAAGTTGTTCGATGACTCATCAAACATTCTCAGAAATAAACATATTTCTTTCAACAAATATTCATTTAAGTGTGAACTATCAAGAACAATAGATAATTTATCAAATATTTCCAAGAAAAACTTCAGTATGTAATAGACCCCATTAAATTTAGTTTCGGTTCAATTAAGGTTTTTTTATATTATTTGCAAAAGTCGCTGGAATGTAATCCCAGCAGTAGAATTAATTATTTTAAATGTTCGACAGTCATTATTACAAATTCAGTATAAACAACCTTGATTTCCAGTTTAATGGGATCTGGAATATTAGATTTAGTTTTTGAAAGTCTATAACTCTGATTGATGCATGAGTGGGTGTCTGAAAAAACCTTTTAATATTTTGACAACGACGAATATTCTTAGGCAATTATCACATCAGCTACATGTTTATGTTCTTTTCTTCAAGCTTCTTCAGTTTTGCCTTCGCTCTCTCATTCTATATTGTAGCCATTCGAAGTAGAAATGAGTGATATGCATATACACCACCTGAATAGGGTATAACAGGGATTGATCAAGAAGCTTGTTGTGATGAATTTGACGTTCTATACAAAGAGCGTTTATATTCCATCCAAGAATGTGACGCTCCCGTTCGAATGCATTGCTCTTATTTTTTTTTATCTCCTTTCATTCTTTCTCATGGATAAGTATTTAAAAGTGTGCTTTATATGTAATCGAATAGAGTGTAATACTACCAACACCAGCACTTCCTCTATCTAAAATCGTCACACTTTGACATCAATATTTTTCATGATCAATTATTTTTATACCTAAATCTAAAACTATAAATGATTCAGTATCATACCTTTTTCTGAAGCACGCTTCATTTGTCCTAGCGAAATCATTTATTTATATTTTCTTTTGACACTAATTAGATTATAAATCAAACATCAACAATGATATATCAAAATCCAACTGAGTTACGTAATGCTATTCGTTCGTGTCAATTTACTTCGGCAACAAGTGGTCAATGTCCAGGTTACATTCAAGCAAATATGGTCATTTTATCGAAACGAATTGCCGAGAATTTTTTTCAGTTTTGTCAATTGAATCCAAGAGCATGCCCTCTTTTAGAAATGTTACCATCGGGTTCGTACACACCCAAAAGATTAGCTAATATCGATGCAGATATTCGAACGGATTTGCCAAAATATCGAATTTATCAAAATGGGAAATTAATTGAAGAAGTAACAGACATAAAACATCATTGGAATGATGACATGGTCACTTTTCTACTTGGTTGTTCGTTTTCATTTGAAAATGCTTTACAACAAAATGGAATTCGAATTAAAAATGTTGATCAAAACAAAAATGTTGCTATGTATAGATGTTCAAAAATAAAATGTGATGGACCTTTTGAAAATGTTTCATTGGTTGTATCAATGAGACCAATTCAAAATGATCAAGTCAATCTAGCAAAACAAATAACCGGCGAGAAGATATTTAAAAAAACACATGGTGATCCATTGTATTGTGGTTACGATTATACGGAAAAGTTGGGAGTTAATCACGATTTAAATGAAGTTGATTTTGGTGATTCAATAGAAATTAATCGTGAAACAGAAACACCATGTTTTTGGTATTGTGGTGTAACAGGAATCATGGCTGCTATCGAAGCTAGTAAAATAGACGAAGGAATGTGTATAACACATTCTCCAGGACATATGTTTGTCAGCGATGTTAAAGATGATGAAGAAATTTCAGAATAAAAAATGTATCCATTGCAAAATGCGTCTATATGGACATGAGGGTGTCGGTGTCGGCGAAGAGTAGACTAACACACACACACCTACATTCACTCAACTGTCTTATAGATGCACGAGAACGGTCTCATATATACACTTGATAAGTCTAAGCTTTTTACAGTGTGAATCATACTTGCACCCACCATTGCATGGTTACTAGCCTTCCTAATGGAGTTTTGTTGAAGGTAGTATGTGCTTGTGAAGTGCATGCGTGCCGCTGTTTTATCATTTGACATCGGGTTCTGTAAAAACAACAAAAGCGACGCCAATGTTTTCATCGTATCAGTAAATGAATATCAAAATGTTTTTTTTCTTGTATAGTTTCCAATTTGCAACTAAGTAAACGAATATTATAAATAGGATTCGATGAGAAAGAAATTATATTCAATAATAGTTGATTTTCGAATAAAATCTCGAGAATTCTTTTTTCATATAATTTAATTCTAATTAAAATATCTTGTAGAATTTTTTTTCTCTGTTTAGAGAAATCATCGAATCTCGCCATTTGAATACTGATTTGAAATCTGTTCAGATGAACAATTATATTTACATTGATCTAAAGTAAATCATTTTATTTAGGATTTAGTTTTCTAGTAGATTTAATAAATTAAGGTTGACTCATTTAAATAAAATTTCAAGGCAAAAGATGTTAGTGCTACTCTTGTAGTTTTTACATATATCGGGACATGTTTCTTTTAATTAATCAAAATGGCCTTCGCGTTTCGTGGGTTTGGCGGGGGAGAGCATTTAAATTTCTACCCTGTATTTTTCAATACTACTTTTAGATACTCTTCAAAACAAATCTTTCTTAGATTTTCTTATAAAGAATTTTATTTTTAAAATGAACCCGAACAAATAAAATAAAGCAACAATCACGAAACATCTTCGTACATAAGAACTATTTACTTTTGAAAGGATTGCTAACGATCGAATATATACGTAGCAAGTAATTATTGATTATCTACATTCATAAATAATATTTCAAATGATTTCATAATAATTTTTAAAATAATTATCCAAATGGATTGAGATTTATCTCGAATTTTCAATATTTTCTGAAGAGAAAAATACCTTTAATTGGTTTTATTATTTTGATATGATTGTTATCTTTTCACTATACTTTTATGTGATCCTGAATAGGAATGGTGAATCCTATCTTGAAAAGAAATCAAATAAAACAACATGGAAATTTCGACTTTTTGACGTGTTTGCGGTGATAATTATATTATTCATATGTACACTTATCATAAAGCGTTCAGCGTTATACATGAAAGCTCGAGCATCAACGGCTGAGCTCATCAATTCTTCGGCTTCAACATCTTGCTCATCTCTGAATGTGTCCACTGTGCGTCTGATCACATTTGATTTGTTTGGTGCATTGATGTTGACTGAATCTTCAATGAATAGTAATATTGCCTCTCTTTTACCGTCATTATCGTTGTATGATGTACAGAATTTTACAAAAGATTGGCTAAATGCATATGCGTCATTTTTTGGAAAATCATTTCCACCGGCATTAACGCATCAACCTTTTCAATGGGTTATTCGTTCATCATTAATAAAGATTTTAGATTCATTCAAGTTGTCAAAAGTCGTGCCCGAAGATAGTATCACTTTCAATGCTTTGGTATCCGCATGGGGAAAATTACAACCTCGCAATGCTACTCAAGAAGTTCTCACAAGGCTGAGCAAAAAATATCAGCTGGGAGTACTTTCTAATGGCGATGCACAGACATTACAATCAGCCTTACGTGTTTTCTCAGCTTCAATCAATATCTCGTTTATATTGTCGTCAGATTATCCAGTAAACTGTTTCAAATCATGTTCAGCAATGTATGCTCAAGCATTAGCTGCAGTCGATGGAGATATGACAAAAGTTTTGCACGTTGCCGGTTCAGCCTATGATACACACGGTGCTCTTATTTTTGGTATTTTTTCAGGTGCACTAGACAAATCGGCTATGCACACAAAACCAAAACCATGCTTTGCTTTCGATAATATAGTTCAACTTCTTGCGTTCTTTGATGTGTAAAGCAATTCATTGTATCTCTCTATAAACATTAAGAAATTGTCAGTCGATGAACGACTCGAGGTTGTGAGTATGAAGAAATGGAATGTGCAGCACCCAATGTTACACCCTGAAAAAAACGGATTTCCTTGAAATTGAACAGTGAAATTTCATCAGCATATAAATATAAATATTCAATATCAAAAACTTAATGTTAAGCATTTCAGAGTGGCACATTATGATTATCAAATGCAGCTAAGTGTATGGGAGCGACAAATGACTCAATGTGTATTTGCGCACATTTTCTAATATAGCTAGAGGCAGTGTTACATGATTTCATATAATATTATCAGCAGTATTTTTCTAGTACGAGTCATTGTCAATATTATCTTAACAAGCGTAATAGGATTTTATTCAAGCCATTTTATATAGAAATATATGCCGATAGCCGTCTGGTGGTTTCCCATGAGGTGACGTCAAATGACAAAAATAAGAGTAATGAGAGGTATAAAAGTAAGGCTTTACTCGTCATATTGCATTCTATTTTCAACTACTGTTGTAAACACTCGCACAAACGGCTGCATAATAATTCCTGTAACAAGATGTCCAATCAAGACTGCGTAATAAACGGTGAGAGGAAAAAACATGAGAAATATTGCCAGAAATAAATATCGAAACACAATCAACCTTTCTAATTGAATCTTAAAGTATGCGAATGATACTGGGATAGAGATGTTTCTGTAGTGTTGTATTAAAAATTCCGATAGAGTTGCTCAAGGAAAGATATAGAAATACTCTTCGTTCATTTTTCTCAACTATACTAAATGATGATTTTCTATTGTTATTCTCCAGATTATGTGAATTTTGATGAGAATGATTTCCAATATGCGACTGATCGATTGCCTGAAATAGAAAATAAACTGGTCAGTGACGGTTACGTTCGAATACAATTTTGCGAGAATGATCTACCGACTAGTCACAATGAGATCAAAGAAATTGAAGAGTTTTTTGTTGATTTTATCACAAAATTGGGCTGTGAATGTTTGACTCATAATGCCGACGAGAAATCGTTCGTGTGGCACGTACGACCAATGGCATGCACCCCGGATATTGATTCATCATTGGCACGCTCTCACACTGATCATGAATTTCCATTTCATACTGACTGTTCGTACGAATCCAATCCACCCGAATACATGGCATTGCTTGTTCTAGAGCAAGATCAATTAGGAGGTGGACAATTCGAAGTCATTCAAATGTCAGATGTTATTAAGCTGCTATCTGAAGAAAGTAGAAAGATTTTAGCAGCAGAAGATTTTAAAATCTCTGTTCCACTGGAATTTCGCAAGGCGAAAGATGTTGATCACATCTACGGATCAATTATGCTCGATCACCATCAAGTTCGTTATCGACCAGATATTCTTCTCGGTCACAAATGTCACGCATTGGATGAACTCGAATCGATCATAAGTCAAGTTCCAAAACATATACCAAAATTAGAAAAATACACCATGATTCTGTTGAATAATCGAAAATATCTTCATGCTCGTACGAAAATTCTTGATCCACGTCGTCATCTGCTTCGTATTCGATTTAACAGAAGACTCCCATACAATATTTTCTCTATCTACAATGAAGCTAAATTACGATCCGAATACTTGACGTTACCAAACACTTTGCTTGATTATTTTCAAGACCAACATAGCCGCTTGTACAAAACCTTGAAACTAATTATTCAACAATATAATCAGACGACAGAAGTGGGTGCTGAAATTCGACGTACATTTCAATTCGAACCAAAAATTCATGATATTCTTTGTGAATTGAATATCCACCGTCCAGAGTTTGTTATGGGCAATTATCGACCAGATATTCTGTTCACCACAGGACATCGTTTCCGTATGAATGGTAAACTTCGATTTGAACCAAAAATATGTGAAATCAATGCTAGGTTCGCATGGAATGGATATTTGCTTGCAGCAGCAATCTGCCCAGGTGACAATGAAAATCAAATTTCAGTGAACTTTGACACCATGCTCAACACTATCTGCGAATCGTCTCAATTCGATACAACAAAATCCATGACGATTCTAAAATCAAAAGAACATGGCTTTGATATACATCTATTTCAGAAATACTGGATCAATAAATATCATCAAAACTGTTGTATAATTCATCCTGATCAATTGCATGTTGTCGATGGACAACTATTTGATCAAAATGAGGAACATCCAATTCAACAAATGATTTTAGAATTACATCAAGATGAAATCTTGGCATTACCCGAAGATATTGTTCATAGCTTAATTCATAGTAGTCAAATACGATACATGAACGATCTGCGAACAATTTTTCTTGTTCACGATAAACGAATGTTCTCTCTTCTGTCTAATCAAGCATTTTTGAATGCACTCTGGCAAACAGATTATGATCAAACAAAGATTTTGACACAATTGATACCTACGACTTACGTTATCGGTCAAATGCCATCTTATGTCCGAGAATGTGTTCTCGCGATGAAAAACAACTGGTGTATAAAACCGAATCTTGGAGGCAAAGGAGAAAATATGAGTATAGGTATGTATTCTGATTATTAATGGCGATTTTCTCGTTATTTTTAAAAGAAAAATATTGCATTATAATTCAGGCACTGATGTTTCCAAAGAAGATTGGTCTCATCTATTGTTCGATCCAAATCATCAAGAATGGATTGTTCAACAATATCAAGAATCAGTTCAATACACTTCCATGAATCTATCTGGGATGTTATTCTGTTGCAATGATCACTGTTTCAATATTGGACCTATTCGACTATCGCCGAACAAAATTGTCAATATTTGTAATGGTGGTTGCTTTATTCGACCTTTTGTTCATCGGCGACATGTTCATTGTTCGGCAGAAGGTGAGATCCTCACCAAAACCAAACTACACGAACAGCTGCAACTGTTCAGATTGACTCATCAACAATGGAATCAAAACATTTATTTCTCATCATCTGGTGGCAGTGGAGGAAAGCGATTGTTCTTCGCCACGGATATTCAAGAGAATCAACGACAACGAGAGATTTTAGTCGACATGATGCTTGCACAGAATGTTCTCTCCGAGACAGATGTGTGTCTCAATCTATTTCATTCTAACAATATCTATCGCTCGCTAGAAATTTTCAATGATTTCTGTTCACTGGCCAATTGTACCGTGTTACCAATGGGTTCCGATGCAGATGATGCTAAAATTCTCCAGATCATTGATTACTTTCGGCCCAATGTCATTATGGGCTCACCCTATCGGCTCATGCAGTTAGCTCTATTTATCGAAGAACATCGACAGTCGAATGAAAAGTTTCATTTCGAAAAAATTTTCTTCGCTTGTGAGCCACTGGATAATCTCAAACGGGATTATTTCAAACGTATCTATAATTGTTCCATGTGTTTGGGTTTTTATGGATCAGCTGAAACAGGTGTCTTTGCTTGTCAAACACCCGCTCATGCCACGACTCAATTGTATATGTATCCGAAAGAATTAGTGCAAGTTGAAATTGTCAATAGGCAAATTATCGTAACTAATGTTGTTCGACGACGCAATCAACTGATTCGATTCAATACTAGCGATCTCGGTCGATTAATACCAACGCAAGACAACGAAAAGTATGGATTGGTCGAAGTTCAGCAAAGTCAACGATTAATAAACCTAGCTCCTGCTGCGATTATGAAGTCTGACGTCGAAGAATGCATGAATCAGTTTGATCTCATCGAATGGCAATTGATTATAGAGAACGATCCACGTGGCAACAATCGAACAATGCTGACATTTTACTATGTTGAAAAGACAATCATGTCCAGTGAATATTTGAAAACTTGCGTAGGAACTTATTTAAAACAATGCTTAGGTAGTTCATTTCCAATTGAAGATTCGTTTATTATTCGATTTGAACCAATTTTGTACCAGGCATTAATTCGGGATCAGACATCGAACAAATTATTGAAAATAATAGATAGGCGATTCTAGCACGTAATTTATATATATATATATATATTTTTTTTTCTAACGAAATCGTGTATAGGAAATTTCAATTTCGATTCAGCTGTTGATATTAGGAATAAATTGATTGTTTTCATCTATTTTTATCACTCTTATTAAAGGAGGAAAATGAAGATAAAGAAATACATCAAAAGGTAGCTGAAAAATGGCCAACAAATAAAGCTGATTGTTCTTTTTAAATTTTCTGCAATAGTTATAATTGAACAGATGAACGAACAACAGATCAAATTCATTTTGTTGTTTATTTTCTAGCATTTTAACTTCTCTAAATTGGAAGAATTTTAGATATTTTTAATTTGTTCTCATTTTCAAAAATAACTCCCTCCTGCTATGACCGCTTCATGCAGCCCCTGCTCCGATTCCTATTTGAAATCAAGTGTAGCTGGTTCTTGTTTCCATTCTTATCAAAACTAATCGGCTGTAAACAAGTTCAGCAAAGGTCATAAGTTGAAATCGGAATCGTTCTATCCCTAGTAACTACTTTACTACATTTTTCAACGATGAAAGGCGCAATCTATCGATAGCTCGAAATAAGCATATGATTTACATAAGGAACCGACAATCATGCTTGTTACAGTTTCAACCATGATACCACAACGTATTTGTTTTATTGCTCCTCAAACAGGTTAGAGACGGAAATATACCACTGATATATTTGCCTGATACGAAGTTAGTAATCATTGAAACAAAGCGAGCGTATACATAACTTACTGTTGCCTTGATTAAGCATCTGTTGTCCTCTTTCATCGAAGTATAAGCACAGAATACACATTACTGTACAGTTACCGTGTGATTTGAAAAGATTCTTATCCTGTATTTTGACAAACGACTTCGATTTCACTATTGATATAATTCTGAAATGAAGACTATAGTGTATGCTTTTCTGCTTATGACTATGGGTAAGCAATGACTTTAGATAGGATCGCTGGAAACTCTGATCTGATTGAAAATATTCCATTTTTTTAAAAATTGTTGCCCATAAGAAAATCATGCATGCATACAATAATAGACGAAACAAGATCGACGATGCAGCTAAATTGCGTACCAGAGATATACAATAACATTTTCAAAACTGCTTTTTCGCCCACTAGTAAAGTCATCTACACATTGAACATCGAATACAGCCTGTTGACTGGTTCCGATTCAGAGAAAGAATAGCATCACAGTATCATTTTAACTTATTATCAGATACTCACCAATATATCCTTACATCATTTTAGTTAACACGAAGCAAATATATTCATCATATACATTCTAATAGAGACCATTTTTTACTGATCATATTGCCATTTACTTTCTATCCTAGACGAAGGAATTGAAGATGCAAACACCATTCGCATTTCATATGATTTTAACTACGCTATTGTGTCTGTTTTCGGCCGGAATTACCAGCGCAAATTCGCGCCCAGCAGGAACCTATCACCCTAACAGTGGTGTTATCTCCGCCGACGCATGTGTGAAGTGTCCTATTAGCACGTATCAGGAATACAGTGGTAGTACAGGTTGCAAAGCGTGCCCTGTTGGCTATTCATGTACTGATGGAATTAATCGCATTTCTATATCGAACGTGGGAAAATGAAATATAACTAGATCTTGAGAATATCGCGAATACAATGAGAAGCTTTCAATCAATAACTCTAAATAAAGTGTTTTTGGCAGTGCTTCTATCTGAGTTTGTGATTAGTTAAACTAAGAAAGTGTTTATAAATGTAGAAATCAACAGAAAAACGCCAAGAAATCAGGACATTAGTTTGGCCATAACAGGTGTCATAATCAGAATGTTGCAAAGAAGGTAGATAAGGTTAGACAAATTTTGGTTGATATGTGCTGAATTTTTGAAAAAATGTAGTTGGATATATATCTGCGTCGAAGAACAAAACTGAATTATAAAGTAAATTACTTTAGAAAGACAACATCAAAATAGTATAGTTTGAGTTAGATTATTCTGGGTACATAAACGATGAAATAATGTTAAGCATCGTTCAGCCTAAAATGAAACAGTGTGCTGAACATGCTGTGTCGTGGCATCAACTGGGCCACATATTCAAGTTACAGCTAAAATAGAAGAAATATTAAACAATAAATGCCTAGGCGCTAGACCATTGGATCACTTTTACTATTTCGGAACATGATACTTCACATCGACTTCATGTCATTTAGTACACCTGATTTGACTTTTTGGACTTATAAAATAAATTGGCATGGGTGGAGAACGAGAATTCTTTAATTTAACTTTTTGAAATCAACTTACATCCAAAGTTAATTTGGATGCTACACAAAATCAGTGCACTAGTTGACAATCGTTCTAAATGAGGACAAAATAGTCGAATTGGATCTGCTATAAAGATGAAAGGAGTGTAAAGTGAGTATTGCAAGCCTTTAAACTAAATATAACTGTTCAATTTCTCAAAGATCAATAAGAATGGCACGAATAAATGTGGAGGTGTGGCGTGGACAAAAACGGACCCATATCTGGTGATACACACACACACCCTACAATAGAGACAGAAGATTCTCTCAAAGTTTCTGATACCGATCATTTTGACCCGGACTATTCTGTTGAAATTGAAGATGATGAAGAGCAACAAGTAGTCGGAAATCGTCAGTTCAGTTTAGAATACATGCAAAGGGTTGTCGACTTCGCTCGTCCAGCTATTGGTTTTACAATCGTACAACATGCTTCTCGACGAGTTACACATCCTATGTAATTAAAGCGATTTCGAGAATATATTGCAAATAACGGAAACCGACGGAAAAAAATTGGAGCGCGTGGAGTATTTTGTACTTGATAGATTTCGCTTTGCTCGTAATAACAATTTATCTGTGCACGATCTCAGGCGAAAATAGAAAATATACATGGTTTTAAAGCAAGTGACTATTGGCTTCTCAATTTCAAAAAACGCAACGGTATACCTTCTAGAA